CTGGAACCAACTTCCAAGGGAAGTGGTGCTGGCCCCTACCCTGGGGGTCTTTAAGAAGAGGCTGGATGCCTACCTGGCTGGACTCATTTGAGTCCCGTTTCTCTTTTTGGGGTTTTTTGTTGTTCTCCCGCCCTGGCGGGGGGTCGGGCTAGAAGATCTACTAGGTCCCTTCCGACCCTTAATCTATGAATCTATGAAATAAAGATGTCTTTTATAGTGCCTGTTTTCTATTATCCTGACAGTGAGATCTAGCAATGTGGCCTAAATGCTGCAACTAGAGAATTTGGGAACTTCAGTGAATGGTTTTCCTGTACATTTTTAAAACTGAAATATCACTGACCTAAAACAGCTATTCTTAAATAATCAGGGCTCATGGTAGGAGGTGGCATCTTTTATTAGACCAACAAGTTTTTTGCAAAAACAATTCTTTAAATTGCAAGATTTTGGGCACAAACACCCTCCATCAGGCATCAGAGAAATTGTAAAAGTTCTCCTGGGTAGAAATTAAAGTTCATATTTCATAGGATTTCACAGAGGAGTCAATTAAGATATTGTTACTGTCCAACAGTAATTGTATGTCACAACCTCAATACAGGATAGAGGAACTTATTTAGACAGTTTGGTGTTTAAAGTTTGGTGAACTTTAAACACCAAACACTTTAAACACTTTGGCCCTTCCCATGGTTCACAAATGAATAAGGTCAACTTTATATGACTATATTTGAAATGGAAGTAGAAATGTAACCAACATCTACAGAATGAAATACTGCTACTGGCAATGCAAATAATGCAATATTTGCAATTATAATTGCAAAAATAATGCAAATTTCCTGCTAGAACATTATCCCCAATGATTTACCCACAGGAAAAACTACAAGAAATTGGAGACACTGAAAATAACTTACAAACTACAAAAATGCTTAAAGGAAGCCTTTTTATATTAGCAGTTTATTACACAATGTCATGTTTTTAAATTTATAAAGATGTTATAAACACCATATAAAAAACTCTACAGATTACCATAGGTCTTCAAACTGCTAATCTAGACCACATCTAATCATATATACATGAGATTTTGCTTAGTCAAGGAAGCATGATACTTTGGTTTATACCACATAATCAGATAGAAGCCATTAACAGACAACAACCACAACCAAAAGAGGAATTTACATTTTAAAGAAACTAAAGGAGATTACAAGACTAGGTCTTAAAGAAAAGCAGGTCTCCTAATATATGATAAATAAGATTTAACATGCACCTAAATTGTATGCAAAAAGAAAAAGAAAACTTGACCACTTGCTAAAGTAGTGGAGCTGGAGATAAATGCTGCACTAAGTTAAAAAAACCCAACAAGTGAAACGTTGATGTTTCTCCCACATTTTACTGTGACAAATGATAAGGATTGTCTTTTCTACCTGTTCAATAAAGACATCAAAAAAGCCTGATTGAAGGAAAAGATGAAGGTTCTCAAGCTTCATTTCCACCACCCCCCACCAACACACAAGATCACATCCAGCTTTTCATTCTCTCTCTCATATCCTATCCCAATCTCAAAATTCAGAAGAATTTTTTTCTGAATTTTGAGACTGGGATAGAATCTCTCTCCCATTTTTTTTTAAACCCTGCACTGGGTTCCTTGGTTTACAAAGCCTTTAGTTACTTCCTTTTGGGGTTCCACATAAATCTACTTCAGCCTTCATCTCAAATCTTGCTTATCAACTAATCAAGTTAAACTTCAATAGTGAATCCCAAACTATTTCCTTTTTCAGTACCTTTTGTCCAGACTATCTTCCAGGTTCACTGCTCTTCAAACTCCTCACCCATTCCAGTACCCCAATCTCTCACACTCTCCTCATTCAAATCTTTCCCCAATCCCAGGTTACATCCATAAATCTTGTTCCAGGAAGAGGGAAAGACAACTCACTTCAGATGCTTTGAAAATTGCTTGGCATCTACAAAAAAGAATGACTTGAAACAACCATGAAGCCCTTCCTCAATGCTAGAGAAAGATGATGTTTCTGGAACTCCTAATGGCCTGGGAAGCTGAACTGACAAACATGAACTTAACTGTAAGACCTGTCCCTGACAAAGCCTTGAAGGAAGATGCATGAATTGCACTGCTGAATGCAGCAAAGCATCTGCATAGAGAGAATGAAATTATGTTTGACAAGGGAAAGTATCTAGGCAAAGACAAAGGGGATTGAAGAGTAGTGAATAATAAATCCAAGATACTTCTAGATTTATCATTCCAAGGAAGAAACTGGTACAAACTCATCTTAACTTCAGCAATAAGGAAATGCTTGGGAATAAAGCACTATCACTGGGGGTACATCTACACGTGTATTTAATGCGACTGAATAAACTCCCGGGTACAGCGTCTACATGTGCACCTGGGGACAGCAACAAAAATTGAGCTGGGAAGGAGCAGTTTAGGCCAGGGCTGCCCCTGCCCTGCTCTGGCCCCCTATAGCAAGCCAAGGTGACCCAGCCCTGGGCTGGCAGGGTGCATAGGGATCAGCCCCAGGCTCCAGCTGGTGGGAGTAGTGTGGCCCAGGGCCCAAGGGGGCAGCCCCAGGCTGGCAGGGGGCACACGGAGATCAGGCCCAGGCAGTGGGTAGCTGTGTCGGGCACAGAAGCTGGTTGGGCCAAAAGTCTCCTGCAGCTGCCAAGTCACGTGGCTACGCAACAAGCAGGAGTGAGGCCCCCTGCTGGCAGGGCTG